GGCACGGGGCTCAAGCCCACGGACTGTGAGACCGTGACCTGAGCTGCAGTCGGACGCTTAACCGACCGAGCCACCCAGGCGCCCCTGTACTACCCCACGTTTCTTACATTCACCTATTCTCTGGTCTGTGAGAACGCAGTGAGGAAAGCAACTGTATCTATAAACTCACCGGTCTCCTACACCGTGTGGCCTGGTACCTGCCAAAGAGTGACTCAAATGCTCACTGAATGAATACATTAATAAACGAATTTCCCTTTGTCAGGCTTTCTGAAAGCTCAGTGTCCTAAATGAAATGAAAAAGCCCTGTACGAACTTGACAGTCACATAAATACTACGTGATGTCAGCTTACTGCGGGCAGCCACGTCCAGTAACAGAGATCCAGGACTACTGGCACAACTACAGGTACGCCGGCTCCTTGGGCAGTGACGGCCTAGGACGAAAAGTAAGCTACCATCTCCATGTGCTTGCAAAAGTCTTTCCAAACGTGAAGCAAATTCAGGAAATGAAAATGAGCTCTCTTCTTATACCAGATTCCTTCCTTTGTCACAATTTCATGGATCATCTGGAAAAACCTATTTGTAGGAATATCTAAAGGAGGATCCTCAACATATATGTTCTTTGTGATAACAAACCCTGAAAAACAAAGGGAAAGTGACTTCTCATTAAGAAGCCTGTGAGTTGAAACATCTCTCTAATGGGTACAAGTCTCCTTTTAACGTCACCACCACCAATGTGGTTAGGGCTCTTCCAGGAACACCACCAAGCAAGCACCTTCTCCGCTGCTGGTAAGCATCTCCTGAGCATAAGCCATGAAATGTGTTAAAATATACTTTGGGCAAGGATCATCTGTAATAACTGAATTATTCTGCATGTATAGAAACAAAATTTATGCTTAAGTTCTATCAAGAAACCATCTAAGTCTCCTGGCAAGCTGGGAGTCTCCACTCCATCCTCTCTGATGCAAGAAGGAGAAATGAGGCCACAGGTCCCCAGGAGCGGTCTCTCTGAGGGCAGTCCTCCCCGGCATTCTCCCCATGATGCAGGTAGTCTTGGTGCTATTGTGAGTCCCTAAAAGATGAGCTGGCAAGATGCATTCATCACGCTCCCTCCCACCACGACAGCACAGCCAAGACATGAGTGAGGACAGCTTCCCCACCCATTGTGGTTCCCAAATAAGCTGTCGCCTGTCTACTTCCCACCCCAGAAAATGACACAGAAATACATTAGTCACTATCTTGACTCAGTATTTTCTTCTGCATCGATGGATTTTAGAAAATGATACCAGCTTAGAAATAACGTTGAGTTTCCTCTGTGTTTCTCTTCTAGGAAATGACCCAACAAGACATTCCAGACAACAGCTCAGGAGACACACGTTTTCAGAAATGCCTGGATGTTAACAGCTGTAAGACTGTGGTAGAAGGAGCTAATTTCTTTGAAGAAAGAAGACAGAGCCCAGGCAGAAGTGGAAAGTAGTGAGATAAGGTTGATTTCAGAAAGTATTTTGTTCCTAGACAAGCGTACTCATAAGGCACAGTCCACTTAAAGACCATGAAGGATGGCGTTCTAGTTTCTCTAACATTGTTTTAACTCTGGTCAGGGACAGACAGACTGTAGCGCTGTTCTGGGTACTGTGAACTCACACGCTCCATAACAATAACAAATCCTTATTATAAGGCAGGAAATATGCTAAGGACTTTACATAAATTCACATGTAAGCCTTCTCACGTTGTTACCCGTTTCATCAAGTAACTTGAGGCAAAGAATCTCACTATGTAGCCCAAGGTCACACAGCCACCCAACGGGCTTACAATGAAACACCAGTTAAAACACTTTAAGTGGACTGAATGTTCTAGGCTTTACGGTCTCACTGGGCAGATTGTAACTAGGATTCCTTCAGCTGGGAAGACTGTGACTACACACGAATCACACGGAGTGCTCAAGTGACTTGGAATGGAAGCCCGGAGTCTGTGGCAAACCAAGAACTGTCCAGTTACCCTGATGCTTAAAGGTACAGCACACGGATTACAAGTTTTATACTCCTGTTCAATTGCCAGAAGTTTTACATCTGCAAAAAACATTTATCACGTTTCTAGAGCAGAATAAAAAAAATACCGATGGGAAAATTAATATAATTGTATGTGGGGAGGGACTAAGGAGAAACAGTGTCATTAGAGTTGACACTAATGACAGTGTCATTAGAGTTAATCCTCCAATCACAGCGTAGGCTAAATCAGGGAAATTGGGGGGCTCGCTAACGAATTTACAACCTAATCATTCAAACGTGTATGAAACGTACAATGTGAGTTAGAATGAGGGTACCCACCCTATTTTGATCAAAGGATTAAACTCCTGCTTGGAGATCAACCCTTGACAACAGTCTGCAAACTCAATTCAGTCCCCTCTGAGCAGAGCAGAAAATTTCCCAGCAACAGGAGGAGAAGCTGTGTGTGCCAGAACCCCTGGCACTCTAGGACGGTGTTTTCTGGGAGTTAGCCGCATTATTTATAGTGTTTGGCTAGCAACTGAAAACACAGTCAAAAACCATCTTGCTTTTTGGAGGAAAAATTAATGAAGTGTTTCATGCACGAATCAAGAGTGTGTGTCACAAAATAGAGGAAAAAAATCCCTCCGTGGGACACATTCTGTTGGTGGTGGACATCTGTTGCTATGGGAGTAGACTCTCCACCATGACACCACACTCACCAGTCGTGGACGGTTAGGGACACAGGGCCGAAAGGTCTCACTCAACAGTGCCCTCTTGTCTCAGTGCCCTGCCCTATTGAACGCTAGCACTCCAAGCTCATCAAATCCACCATTAACAATCCTGTTA